ATGGATCAAAATATTGTTTAGTTAACATCCAAATTAGTTTAAGATAAAAAAGACAGACGATTCTCTCAACAGAACGATCAACAGCGGTTCTTATGGAAGCATTATTCTTTTAATAGAAACTATTTCTTTCAGTTCATCAACATTTTTGAGCGTAATATTTTCACACCGAATTTTCCGTGGATTTGGGTAGGAATTTTTCTTCCTGAAGCACATTCACACTCGACTCTATCTGAAACGGTGTGAGTCTGAGTCGTGTTCGAACCAGCACGACAGTAACTAATGTAACAAGTAACCGTCAGTTATGCCCATAATCTTGTCCGATCACCGCTATGATGGTCTGAGAAATGTGGAAGGCGTGCTAGTGACTGAGCCTAAATAAACGAAAAAAGCATCTTGTGTCTTTGAAGCGGCTATAAAGGTGAATTTAAAGATTTTATTGAAACTATTATGCCTATGTATTGGGTCCGAATTTCGATCGGACTCAAGAATTTTAATCGAGCAGGTCCAGGTTTGAGCTTGGCTCTAAACAACGTTATGAAGATATGACCAAATCGAGACAGGGTTTAAAAGGCATTTGATAAATCACTTCTGTGTCCCAACCCGAAGATTTTGCACCGAAGAGGCTCTAATTGCGCCGACATCCGTACCTCGCAAAGTCGTTGGTGCGATAGTATCAACAAGAAAATGTTATGAATGAAATTGTTGTGTCACGATTTTTCTCCTAAATTTTGTACTCTTACTCTAAAAGCAAACATACCTAAATTGTATTGTAATGCTAATTTCATAATGTATACCGAAAACTTATTCCGTACTCTAAATCCATTATACTAATGAGCTTGATCCACCACATTGTTATGGTAAAGTTTAAATGTTTCTGAAGTTTTCTGCTGAAATGTATGCCATTATAAAGATTCGTGGCGATTTTATTGATATAGATTCAATTGCAACGAATATGGTTTGAAATTTGATCTTTATTTTGATAACTCTGAAAACGAAGTATTGCATAATATTTTGATCATCATATTAAAATTAAATTTATCTATACATTACGGAATCAATAATTCTTTTGTATTTTTCAAAAATAACATAATGATGATTTGAACTAAGATCAATCGTTTGGACAAGTGCTTGAGGTAAATTAAATATAGTTGGTGTTTTATAGTTTTCGACTAATTACTAGAGAACAAAAATTATCATTTAGTTAAAGGAGATAACAATAATTACATAATAAACATAGCAATATCATTCTTTTTCTTTTTGTTTACATCATGACATAACCATAGGTAACATATCCATGTCTACTGGAAGTTTCTTGTTTATGTTAAAGATTTTGGATAGATGGCGTTTTCTTTAACTTCGATAATTTTATCATCCGGATTTTCAATTAATTCTCAATGTTTGAATATATTTGAATAATCAAATGTTTGTTTGTTATCGCTAATTCGACAAATGAAAATGTTTTTCTCTTTGAACTTTATTATGATAATAAGTTGGATTACTCAACACTTATATTTACACATAAAAAATTCATCGTAAAATTTTTATTTCTCTCATAGATTCTTTTCCGTTCATAAACTGAAGTTTGTTGATTTTTTATAATATGGAATTATCATCAACGAAAATGACGAAAACATTCAGGATGTGGGCAAATGACACAGTAAAAAAGGAGACCGATAAAAGTGATTTTCTTGGAAAAAGGAACTCTTACGATGCGTGCTTCTCTCTGCATCAAAATTTTCGTTTTCCTTTCTCTATTTTCAATCGACGGTTTAGTGCAAATCTTTAAAGCGGCACATTTCATTGCAATGAATACAAAAATTGACCATATATCAGGGAAAAATGCTTGCAGCTCTGTTGTTACATATTGATACAGTATCCCTCGAACTGTATGAGATTATCCAAAAACCATCATAGCAGAATTGATCGATACGATGAATATTCGAAGTGAACATTGGTAATGTTTCGTTAAAAGTTTTTCATTAAATTATTGTTTCTTTTGAATAATCTAATCTGTCAAACATTCATCAAGACACCAATCGCAAATGAATAGCGAAGAAATCGATCTGTTATCCATATCGATTCGTTGACAAAAACTCCAGCAAGAACCTCTGTTATATTCAATGGTGGATCAATAGAAGATTGCAGTGAACTGTAAAGAAGCACTAACCGAGACAAAGATCACTTCTATCTCATTGAAATCAAAAAAAAAGTAATGACCATTCGACAGAGGATTGAATCTGTTTCTCATTAATCGGCATGCTCGATAATTGAACTATAATGTTCCAAGCAACGTACTTTTGGCTCATTTTAAAATATTATCGACAATGAATTATCGCCTTCCTTCACGTTTCTTTTTTAGATATATAGGATTCGTTGATCATAAAAATATCCTATTCTAATTTTATAACTATCGATCCTCATTATCATTAGATATATTCAAGTCATTTTGTTTCATCAGCATGGATCGATTTCTTGCAAAATTTTAATCATACCTTTGCATATATATACTTAGATTATCAATTCAATAGTGTTTGTCAATTTGAATTGGTATCCAGTTTATGCTTTATTTATTGTACAAAATATTTTTCTGAAACATTATTATTAAACAATGTTGAAAGAAAGAGTAAGAAAAGTTCTTAAGTACTATTGCATTCACCATGGACATGACAAAAACTTTTTGAAACATCTCTGTCATATACCTGAATGAAATCTATCGAATATTCAATAGGATTAGTTGATTACATTATACTGCATATGTCTCATCACAGACATATCTAATATTGACATGCTATTTTGAATTATTGAATATCGGTTTGTTCGATTTTATTAGGAACAAGAAAAAACTGCTTTTAATGAAAAAGCAGAACTAGCAACTTTTAATCCTAGTTCGTGATTCGATCTCAAACTTAACAAGAAGTGGACGACATGGTTGCCTGTATCATTCGGCACGATGTTTATTCGACTATACTATCATGATGGATATATACTAGTGTAGGTATCCTATCAACAATAAAATCGATATATAGCTAGTGATGTTCGGTCCAGAAATCCTAGGTTCCTAAAGATCCGAAAGATTGATGCTTAATTTCATAGTAAAGAATAAATGTTGGGATGTTTTTCAGCTGCAATTTCAATGAATTCATTCCTCTTCTATAATATTTTTATACATACCTTCAAGTGTTCTATATTAACATACTAATAAAAAATTCAACTCAAACATTATTAGATGATTTTACTCAATTTGCATTTCATTTTGTTTAGATTGAAAGAATCATCTAATTAAATAGTTTTATAATGTTATCGAATGTTAGTGTCTGAATTTAAGGAGCTTTTTTGATTTCATACTGTAACAAAAGTTTATCAAAATTTCAACAGTTTTTTTCTCCTTTGAACAGTACAAAAGAGAATAGTTTAATTAGTAACATAATGAGATCGATGGTAAATTTTGAGTGAAACTCTTTGAAGAACTATTATATCGGGTGGCTCATGAATAAATTAGGAGGCGAGAAAAAATTGCGATATGTTTACTTCAATGCAATCAAATGCGCTGAGTTTTTGGTCGATGTTAGAAGACTATTTAAAATCTTTTTTTTCTGACGGATAACGTAAGCCAACTCTATTGCTAAGTATTATTGGTGACACTATTGAAATGATTTTATCTAGTCTTAAGTATGGAAAACACATCTGAACCTGCCCATAGATCATTTTCAGTTGTTATCTTACGAAGAAACATTTTCAACTGATCAATTGCTTTCTCTTCCGAAGCTAATGGATTAAGATTTATCAGCAATGCTGATTTGAAAAATGAACATGCAAAACCTTGTTAGGTTTTTCTATGCTGGCGTTGCAGACTAATAGACTCATTGCCAAATTTTTTTTTTACTCAAATCAGAGATGGAAGCGATATCCGTATGCCCAATTAATTTTTTTTACTCGTAGCATCTCATAAAAAAAAATATATTGAAACTTTCTTCAAACTTGACTATATAAAATATTCCTATTCAAAGATAGAATGATATGAGAACGTAGCAGTTCAGTGTCGTTAGGGATTTCAGATCAGCTGGAACTGGTCGTGAAAAATCCAGATTATTTCTATCTCTGATTTTAAGTGCAACAAACTTTTATGATTCTCATTATATTGATTAAGATTAATGACTCTTCTAAACGTATCAGTTACTATGTTATTCTTAATACAGATTATTAATGTCTTAAACTTACCAGCTTTGCAATATAACTTATAAAGTATGAAATGTTTTAACTCTTTGAGTACCAATGCTCAACTATGATAGTTTGAGTTTTTGAAATTCGTATGACCATTTTTATCAGTCAATGCCTATCATCCAACAAATTTAAACTTCTATCATTGCATTGTTTGTAAGATATAAACCGTTCATTTCTTTATATGCGTCATAATTGTATCAAAATATAATAATAACATTGTAGGGAGTAAATATCCATACGTTAAATATTTTCAAGCAGACTTCACATTGACTATCAATCTCAAATTATTTAATTTATTTAATATTTTTTTTTTCATTTTCGATTTAATAACATATTTGAGGTAAATTGATAAAACTATATTGTCTCATCTAGATATGTCTTGTGTGTTCGCCAGTTACTCAAAAATTAAGAAACTCTAAAAAATTTATTACGTCTTGACTTAGACACTCATTTTGTGCCTTGTCATGCCCATATTTTTACTCATTACTAATCATATATTATGTTTATTTTCTTATCTCCTTAATGACGTAAGTATTTCTAATATATTTTCTCTCATGTAACGCTTCATTGATTTTAATAAGTACATTTTATTCTTATTCGCTTATATTTTACTCTTATCAAATCGAACGAGTGTTTACGAGCATAGCAAACAACAAGAAAGAAAAATAGGCGACAAAATAAATGAAAATCGATCATGCATGCATTTATTGATAAATATTTTGAATTATCACAAATATATTATACTATCTTGAAAGAACACACACAAGAAGAATATAATAATGACGTCTGCACCACGTACAGTTTTTCTTAACAAACGTTCAGGTGACCATGGTTTTGGTATACTTATAAAGGAAGATAGTCATAATGAAATGGAGATAATTGCTATAGAACCTAATTCACCAGCAGCAGATGCTAATATACGACGTGGTGATCGTATTTTAGCAATTAATGGACAACCGGTGTCAAAAATCTCTAACGAAATATTTTTTAAAATAGCACATAATGCTCAAAGTTTAATACTTTCTATTCAATCATCAAATAATACACTTGACATTATTGATGAATCGTCAACTAATGATTTTGATAATAATAATAATGATCCATATTCATCAACACAGAGTAAAAGTAGTGATCAAAACTGTCAAAGGTATTTGTTATTTCATTTTTAATTTAATAAAAACTTTTATTTATTTTTCTTTTTATTTAGTTATAATAAAGGATTAAGTTTTGATGACAATTTAAAACCTAGTTCTTTGTCACCAGCAAATAAAAATGAAAAAGTTTTAATATCTGATCAACATTCAATTCAACCTCATCATCACCGAGAAAGATATCATTATCAATCACAAAAAATTGAAAGATTAACTGATGAGGAACTAAAAGAAAATATTCAATCATCATTTCCACGTCGACGTGCATCAAGTATGGATGCATCTCATATAATTTGTAATTCAGAATTATTGAAAAAAATTAATGAAATGAATGCAACAAAAGGAGACAAGTCTCTATCAAATATTCAGTCAACAATTAATAATGAACAACTTTGTGAAAATGGAATAGGTGAGTTTAGAATTTATCTTATTCATTTATTCATTTATTTGACTATTAGTCGAGCATCCTCAAGTTTGTATTACTGAAAGAGAACAAACAGAACGAGAATTCAACAATAGATCACCATCGATTGATGATGTAAAGTTACGTGAAGTACATTTATCTCGTTCATCCGGTTATCCAGGATATGGTTTTACAATAAAATTTGATAAACTGGACTATATCATAGTTAAAATTGAGGATAATAGTCCAGCTGAACATTGTGGTCTTCATCAAAATGATATTATACGAAAAATAAATAATCAAGCAATCGAAACGCTTGCCTTACGAAAGTTTTTTGAAATTATGACGTTGAGCAATGAAATTACTTTACTAGTTCAAACTAATGATGATCACATGCATATTAATCCGAAAGTATCACGACCAAAAACCGTCGAATCAAAATCTAAGGCAATTAATAATCATCCTGAGATTCATGGACATGAACATGAACGCAGAAGTAGTTTATTTGATATGTTGAGCAAACTAAAAAGGCATGGGGAGCATTATCATGCATTCATGTAGTTGTACAAGAAAAACTTTATTAATTATACATATTACCAACGATAAAATGATTGTGAACCGTTGCTTTTGTTTTCGTTGAACATATCAGAAAATAAAAACAAATCGAACTTGAATTCTTTTTTGAAAAATAAATCCGCATTGAACCGAACATAAACCAGTGAAATTCGCTTCGATTCAGTCTTAGAACATACATTGGAGTTTTCATTGAAGTATTGTAACGAGTTATTATTGATATACGGTCTTTGATTGCATATCAATGACTATTACAGTCTGTGATGATGAAAAGACGTTGCTAGTTATGCCTGTTATGAACTGTTTCCTACGATTTCTTTTAGATTGTGTTTCACAAAAAAATATTTTTTCTAGAAAAAAACATAATGCATTATGATAAAATTTATATCTTTCTCATAATCGGAAAATTTGTATGAATTATTATAAAAATCGTTTTAGCAAATACTATCGAAAATTGTTACATTGATTTTCAATCAATCGCTCAATGTTTGATTCATATCAACCTATTTATAAAGAACTAATTAAAAAAAAAGTATTCAACTACAGTGTGGTTTGCAAATTTATGATTCAATCAAAACAGTCCTTTTGTTGTTTACTTACATATAGAAATCAGTATTTATTTGTTTTCGAGTAGTCGTTCTCAAAAAAAAGTGATAACAATGATTTTATCAATAGGTTGATTTTAGTAAATTAGAGTGTTAATTGTCTCATATTGAAGAAAACATTATTATCCGTTTTATTATCAGAATAAGTAATTTTCGGTAGCCAAAATCGAAGTAAATAACAATCTAGTGTCTTATTAAATTAAAGTGAAGCATTACTTTAATTTATGTTTTTACAACTTTAATAGGAAGAAAAGAAGCAACCTGTTTTTTTCCAACATGATAGCAAAAAGTAAACAAAAGAAATACTTTGTTAACAGTATGTTAAAGTAACATTCTTCATTCGTCAAAGAGATTTTGAAACCTACGAGCAATTCATGAAAGTAAAAGGAAAGAAGAAATAAAAGTGTAGCTATGTGTGGAGTCGGTCAAAGTACATGTCACACATAAAATCACAAACAATTAGGAAATTTGTCAATTGAAACGTCGGCAAGTAGTTTTATTATATTTCTGTTTTTTCTTTCAGGTAAAATATTTCAACTAGAGCTAAATTAATTACACTTCCCTTATTTAACGTAAAACGTAGAGAAATTAAAACGACCTCTGCTATGCTAATATTAAAGATATCGGACAGACTTATTCAAAGAATAAATAAAGTTACAATATGTCAAGAGCATTTGAGACTGATTTCTAACGCTTTATCTCAACTTGGACATATATTGAATACAACAAGCGTTAAAGATTAAAAACATATCTTTGAGGAGCTAGTGCAGACATTAAAAGCCATCGATGAAGTTATCACTGGTTGTAGTGAAAATGAAGCTGAACTCAAAAGAATGACTTATCGAGATCTTGAATCTTTATTGTTTCGACTTCAATTACGAATCGCTCAGCATGCCGTTGATTTAACAGATAACTATGAAGGAAAAATTCAAATACTAAGTAATGTTTATCATGATCAACAAATTCTTGTTCAAAAAGTTTTTGATGAAAAAATAAGACAAAGATTATATACAATCGGAAAGAGAACTGAAGAAAACACTATAGAACAACTTCATCTACTACTTGAAAAACATTTTCATACGATCAAAGTTTATCTTCACTATTGTACTGAACTACATAAAAATGTACCTCTGACTGGTCTAACTGGTGATATTGTTGCTAAAATTGCTCAGAATTTCTATAAAATCTCTCCCGAAGATAAACATCAATTAAAACATAAATGGAAATCATGTGATCTTCCTCTCACCCGTACATTTATTCAATTCAAACCTGATAAATCTACATCATTCAAAAGAAATGAATCACGACGATTACTTATAGGATCAGAGAATCACTTACTTCAAAATGATCATGATAGAACAAAAACATAGAAAGGCATATGGTAAAGATTAGTCTCAACTCCTTATATGATGTCGATGGTTGAAAGAGATCGCTATTCGGAAGAAGAGGATGTTACTGAAGAAAATATTATTCGAACAAAACGTTGGTTTGTTATTTTAGGTGATCCAGGAAGTGGAAAAACAAGTTTTGCTCGATGGCTTGTTGGTCATCTTGCTCAAACACTTCTTCTTAATGGATAACATTCAACTGATTATGAACCTCTTCGTATACCAATTCTAACTCGTATGGGTGAATTTGCTGAAATATTGAAAGAACAATCATCACTTACTCTATTTGATTATATTGGAAAACATAAATAGATAGGTAAGTCTATTGTTGATGATTCATCAATATCTCTGGATAATTTATCATGTGCTCTTCAAGATTATATTAAACAAGGTCAAGCTCTAATCATACTTGATGGTTTTGATGAGCTTCCTGTTTCTGATCAACGTTCAAAAATTATTAATCTTGTTGAAAATTTTGTCGATACTTATGTTCAAACACTTATGGGTACTTCTGCATTTGATGATCAATATTTGAGTAGACTATTTGATGATCTATCTAAATCAGGTGGTAATCAATTAATTGTCACTAGTCGTATTGTTGGTTATCATGTTGCTCCATTAGCTGGTCAATTTGCTCATTATACAATTCGACCTATGGATATGGAACATATGAAAGATTTTGTCGACTATTGGTTTTTTCGTGTTCATCAACGTATACTTGACACATTCAATCTTTCATTAATTAATCAAGAAGAGAATCATGGTGAAGCACTTAAGAAAGAATTAGAAAAAAACGGAATATATTGGTCTTCTTGATGTAGCTTCCAATTCTTGTTTAATGTCATTTATTTGTAGTGTAGCTTTCAGTCAATTAGAAGATTCATCATTACCAACTCAACGTATTCTACTAGATGAAGGAAATATTAATTCTATGTCAAGTTTGTGGAGTACGAAAAGATCGAGCATTTCAATACGAGAATTAATTCAAATTTTTAGTAATATTGCAAGTTATATTCATGGAAATTCTTCATCAGGTCTTATTCATGAAGAAAAAAATGAAAGAAATTTGCACTGAATCTATTAAAGAGTCATTAAGTAAAAACTTTAACACTAAAGATCATATCCGAGATATTGAACATCAAGCATGCGAGTTCGTACAAATTATTCGTGAAGATGTTGGTATTTTAGCTGCTCGAGGTGAATCACTCTATAGTTTTCTTCATTTAACATTTCAAGAATATTTTACTTGTTTAAAACTCATCAACATAGAAACAACGAAACAAGAGAAAGAACAAACTTATACATCTAGTTTACAAAACAAAATTCAATTCATTGCTCAATCTGTACGATATCGTACAAATGATCCACATTTTCAAGTACCTATTGCACTTGCTCTAGGCAAGATTAGTTCTTCATGGTGTCAAAAAAATTTTGTTAATTTTTGTTATGAATTTATAAAAGAACAAGATGAATATGATTCTCTTTTACCACTTGGTGCATATATGTTAATTAAGTGTGGTAATGATCTTGTAAATTATCCTTCTCATGATGTTTTATTTAATGCTTTGGATCGTTTAATAATTGCAGCTGGTCAACATAAATGGTCAATTGTTTGTTCATTTCTATTCGATCAAATTATAATTTCATTAAGAAAATTTCGACATGATATTGTTTCATTATGGATTATTAAACTATTGTCTCAATTTTATCAACATGATATTCAAACAATATCAGCTCTTTGTCATCTCATCGAAGGAAAACCTCAGGAATTTGAAAATATCAAGTGGTTAAATCAATCATCTTGTGCAATGCTTCAATTTTTGTCAATACTTGATAATGAAAATAATGAATTTGCTATTGATCGACTATTAGTGAAAATTGCTTTCTCCAATCATCACTTATTACCTGTTAATCCAAGCAGTTTTAAAGGATTTTTTCTTGATGAAGAAATAGAACTGAATTCAATTTCTATTATTCTATTTTCTATCATCATCAGTTTATATGGTGGTTTGAAACGAGATGGTTCTGATATTGTCTTTGATGTATTTCATACTTATCCAGAATAAACTGTCGTAACACCAATTTTGATGCGTTTTTATTTCTAGAACTAATTTAAATAAGCAAAATGAAAACAAAATCATGATTAAACAAGAATTTTTAAGATTATTATTGACATGAGTAGAAAACCAAGATGAATCTTATGAAACAGTTGATCTTTGTATTGCGGTTATTTGTTTATATGGCATCTGAATCTTTCACAGGTACAATTAGGAAGTAGTGCATATATTAGAACAAGATCTTATTTATATACGATCTTTCATAATATATTAACACAGTCGGTCACGATCTGTACAGAGGGAATAATGACACAGCGTCTGTCATGATCTTTGCAGAAGGGTGGGAAAGTAAAAGTTTCTATCCTGTACACTTGGACTCTCCTTTTAGATTGTCTCTCACAAAAATCCAAAGAAAAACACAAAGTTCTGATTAGAGATACATCATTTCGAATTATTAGAATTAGTTACGGGTGGGAAATTACCATTACAGAGAGACAGCTACTTTACCAGTTACTGGGTAACGGAATAGTGCGAAGTTGCTAGATTTGATTCTTCCGTCTAGAAAAGACTATTTAGCGAAACTAACGGTTTTTTTATAAAGTTTGACCAAATTTTCTGAAATTCGAGGAATTCGAATCGGTAATTAGATGTTTGACACTGTGTACTTTATTTCTCGGCCAAGTTACCTCCACTTCGAATAACTTTGATCAAACTTTATATGAAATCGCTACTTTCCTACGATAGCCTGTCCTTGACGAAAGAATTAAATCCAGAAACTTTGCGTTATCCTATTATCTATTAAGAACTGCAGAATCTTGCACTTATTTCCAAGATCTTTCCAGAAAACACTCCAAGTCTCTAATATTTTAGACGAAAATTAACAAATTTATTCAGTCAAGATTATTTTCTGACCACTTCCCATCTCACCTAGCATATCAAAAGTCGATAAAAAAATGCTTTTCCCAGAAAAATAGTTAAATATTTATAGATTTACTGTATTAAAAAAAAACCAGTCGAAAGGTTTTATCAACATTTTGTATTTTTCCATAAAATTTTTATTGGAACAGTAAGCATCTACTCTTTTACTATTCATATATCTCGGCATAAAGATTCTCAATCATCTTGTTGTTAAAAGAAATAAGTTAGAAAATTTTTTACTCCGTTCATTTTTCGATGTATTCGTTATTTAATTTACAAAATATGTTGCTGATTCAATGGTCAAGAAAAGCTTTACATTGTTAAATGATAACTTGAGGAAACTGAATAGTTTCAAATTGTTCACATTTAGATAAGAACTTTGTTTACTCACAAATTCTAAATAACTATTTTGTCCTATGCTGGGAAATTCGGAATACATGAAATGCCGTGAGAGATAAATAGCATGCGGTATAATCTTTTCCGTGGGTATTCAAATATGAAAGTGAGTGCATGAGAATCGAAACTCACATCAACATTTACACTCTTCCAAAAATTCTGTGGGTTCTGCGAATGAAACTGCACTTATGTGAGTTTCGAACTTCTAAAATACAGGGAACTCACGCATAGCTAACTTTTGGTCAACTCTAAGTATTTTATTCAAGATTTGATTGATGGTCTCCATATAACATTCAGATAAAATTCTTATTGCATTTACATTATATTGATAGGTAAACCGTATGTTGATGATAGAATACACTCTAGATTGATAAATTTAAATCAATTACTTATATGCAATCACTTCGAATTAATTGTCTCATTGCTGTTTCAACTAGATCACGATTACTAGTATGAATCGTTTTATTTTATATTTCCTAGAAGATGCATAACAGCCGACATAGAAAAACAAAACAAACAAAAACAAAAGAAAACACACATAACATAATTGTTCTAATACATTTATTGGCACTTTTAAAAGCCCATACCACCCATTCCACCCATGCCGCCACCCACTAAAATAAAAAAAAAACAATGATAAATATATATGAATTTTCAATATTTAAAAAAACATACTGCCACCCATGCCAGCTGCAGCAACATCTTTTTCGGGTTTAGGTGCATCAACAACAACAGCTTCAGCTGTTGTTAATAACGAAGCAACACCACTAGCATCTTGTAAAGCTGATCGAACAACCTACAAGGAAAAAAAACAATACATATATTTATTTTAGTCAAAATAAAAATATTTTGTTTTCTTTCATACTTTAGTTGGATCAATAATACCAGCTTTAACCATATCAACAAATTCATCACGTTGTGCATCATAACCAATTTCAAATGGTGACATAAGTACTTTTTCTACAATAATACTACCATCTTTACCAGCATTCTTAGCAATTGTTGCACATGGCATACGAAGTGCTTTTCGAACTATTTCCATACCTAAATGAATTCATAGGAACATATAAAATTATAAAATATTAATTTTATGAATATCTTTTACCAATTTTTTGATCAGCATTTATTGCACCAGCATCTTTATCCAATACATTAAGACAACGTAAAAGAGCAACACCACCACCAGGTACAATACCTTCTTCAACAGCTGCACGTGTTGCATTTAATGCATCTGTAATACGATCTTTTTTTTCATTAACTTCAACTTCACTACTACCACCAACTTTCAAAACAGCAATACCATTTGATAATTTAGCTAAACGTTCTTGTAATTTTTCTTTTTCATATTCAGAATTTGTTTCAGCAATTTCATCTTTAAGTGCATTGACACGTTGTTCAATGGCTGATGGTTCACCTTTACCACGCATTAATAATGTATCATCTTTTGTTACAATAACTTCACCAATACGACCAAAATCTTGAACAGTTACCTCATCGAGTTTACTTAAATTGGCTTCATCACCAAATACGGTACCACCGCAAGCAATAGCTATATCGCGTAATGTATTTTTACGATTATCACCGAAACCTGGTGCTTTAATGGCACAAACTTGAAGACCAACTTTTAGTCTAAAAAAAACAAGATATAATTAAAATTGTCTGTACGATTTCGAATTTTTCCTATAACTATTTTTTGAGCGAGATAAAACCCAATTAAAGATGTGCAGGACCAAGTTTTTAGGATTTCGGTCTAGAAGCAACTATTCTATGCTTTATTATTACCATATCTTTAAGAAAATATTCAATATTCGTTTTTGATATATTTAGTCGACGACTAGAACTTTTTTGGGACATCTCTCTTGAAATAAGAGTATGTAATTACAATCTTTACTTTCGATTAGAACAACTTTTTTCTCGTAGTCGCGATCTTGGCCTTCACAACTTATTCTTTCTGTAGAGTAGATATTGATAAGGTTCCTAGTTTTAGCTGTGCACGTTTTGATTTCTGATCTATACAAGAAGGCCTCTAATGAGATCTCTAATAGCGCCTAAAGATAGACTTATTGTCTATTACGGTCGAGAGGCAAAACCATTCTTATCTCCCTAAGATATAGTCAATAAAAGATTTAGTCAAAGTCACTTATGACAACAGAAGTGTATAAAACAAAATAGTATTCATTCTCATAGTAGTATGCAAGACGTCATTGAAAACTTCACTTGTAGTAGCCGTCAAGAAAAAACCTTTCTCGTTTAAATTGAAAGTTTTCCATTTTTGGCATAAGGTCATTTATGTATAACTATAAAGGATATCGTTTCATCCTTTACATCGAAACGAAATTCTAAAACTTAACTTTTCTCGATCAACTTAACAATCTGATGCTTCAATCAAAACGTAGAAAATCTTTTCTAACATACCTGTTAATAACAAGTGTTGTAAGTGCTTCACCATCAATATCTTCAGCAATAATAAGTAATGGTTTACGTTGGCTATTAGCTAATTCTAAGGCTGGAATTAATTCTTGTACCGAAGAAATTTTCTTTTCACTCAATAAAAGAAAAGCATCTTGAAATTCACATTTAGCACCTTTTGTTGTGTTAATAAAATAAGGTGAAATGTAACCACGATCAAATTTCATGCCTTCAATTATTTCAAGTTCATCCATAAGTGTTTTACCATCCTACAAAAACAAAAAAAAAAGGTTTCAGATATTGTTTTTTTCTCACTTATTAAAAAAAAATCATCAATCTTACTTTAACAGTAATAACACCATCTTTACCAACTTTTTTCATAGCATTCGATATAATATCCCCAATGGATACATCACCGTTAGCTGAGATTGTTGCAACTTGTGCAATTTCTTCAGGTGTTGTTACGGTTTTTGACATTCGTTTAAGTTCTTGAATAACAATTGATACAGCAAGCATAATACCACGACGAACTTCAATTGGATTAGCACCACGAGATATTTTATCGAAGCCTTCTTTAGCAATAGCACGAGCAAGAATAGTTGCAGCTGTTGTACCATCACCTAGATACGAAGAAAAGATTTTTTGTTTTTTTGTAAATTAAAATTTTATTTAATTATTCATACCAGCTTCTTCATTTGTATTATTTGCAACATCTTGAACAAGTTTAGCACCAATATTTTGAAATTTATCTTTAAGTTCAATTCCTTTAGCAACTGTTACACCATCTTTTGTAATTTTTGGTGCACCCCAACTTTGTTCAAGAATGACATTACGTCCCTACAGAAAAAAAAAATAAAAAATTTATCTTTAAAATTTTAAAAAATGTCAAACAAACTTTAGGGCCCATTGTAACAGCAACAGCATCGGCAAGAATGTCAACACCTTGTAACATAAGTACTCGAGCATCGGCACCGAATTTAATTTCTTTAGCTAATGAACGTCGTACAACATGTCGAATTAATGGTGATGTTGTACGTGAAAATGCGTTTGCAAAACGATACATGTTTAATGATGGTAATATTCTAAATATGATCGATGAAAGTAAAGTAAATGAAAAAAAAAGAAGAGAAATGGAATTCGGAATAGAGAAATTTCGTATTTTTTTTTCTCTCCTCCGTGTTGTAGTTGATTGACCTCCTTCATATGAATGGATCAAAAACATCTTCCAATCAAAAAAAAACAGAAACACATAAGAAAACGACCTAAAATTTATCGCAAGAAATATT